ATTAAATTTTTGGACTAGACCATCGATATCAGCGGTCTTCTTTGTCAGGCAAGATAACATGCGTCCTAACGCTCCCGGCACGAAACGAGACAGTGATGACGGAGCGACATTAATTAGTTGTTCAAACCCTTCCTCCTCCACACCCCCCCCCTCCGTTTGCCCCGGTCCCTCGATCCACTAGCAGCCCCCACCCGCTTATTTAGTACTGATTGGTTGCTTAAACATGTTAGTTTACTTAATTCGACTTCTTGAAAGCCTTCTTTGAGTCGGTCCTTTAAAACACCTACTCAAAAACATCAAAGGCGGCAGTGAATGCATTCTTTAAGGACCAGGTTATTGACATACCTTTATATAATTGGGGATAAATGGGTAGAAAACAGACAACATTACGCTTCCTAACAGAGAGATATAATACCCTTTTTACACTTTCAATACCTAAATTATGGCCTACTACAAGTTAGAACGGCAAGTCGATATTTTACTCTTCTTTAAGAATTAGTTTCAATTGACCGTTTTAAATCCGTTGCACTTTAGTGCAATACTAAAGCAGTCAGGATCTTCTTTATTTACTCCTATGCATGTTTTTCTACAAATAACAATTCACGTGATGACTGAAAAGTGTTTCTTGTTGAGCGCAGAATGCACACTGGCAGTCGAAATCAGACAAGCGAAGTTGACCTTATTTTAAACCATCGTGTACTGGTTTCTTTACAGGATATGCAAATAGTGAACGAAGATGATAATGGTGGGTACAATATCTGATGCGCTTTCTGACTAAAAAAAATTGTTTTGAAGGGCACATGTATGCGTACGGTCTATAACAAATCAGTCACTGCCGTTTTACCGTAACCAGTAATATTTGCCATAGTTTCGTCCTTAGTCACCTCTGCGGGCCGTTCGGCTACTCTGGAGACTGAGACTCATGAAGAATTGAAGTTGTGACAAGGCATAGCTCGGGTGATCATACACTTAGCAGATAATATGACACCTGGATATTTGCAGCGCCAACCTCCTCAGCTGAAATGAATAGCTAACGTGCTATATATGCTAACTGATTCGCTGAACTTCCCTCAAACTGAAGGAACTAATTAATTTTACACAATTGTGAAAAATATGGGATTTGGGTGGCATCCGCATTATTGCGAGCAAAGGAAGGCTTCATTACAACCAACACCTTAGGCACCTGAAGTGTCGATACCCCACTGGGAGCCGCGATTTTGTTCATACTTCAAACAATTTATCCGCCCAGCCTATAGAAAGGTATGGAATCCACCAATTCTAATTCACTGTCCGCTGACAGCCCAAGCAGGATTTCTGAGGCGATCAATCTAGAATGCAGCAGACTTAATTATTAGGAGTTTGACAGATTTCAGCAGTCAACTTGATCCATTTGTGAAAACTCGGCAGCCCCTCCTTATAATTAAGGCTGCCGTGTAGTCGTCTGGTGGACTCTAGACGGCTTGCTTAGGAGATCCTGCTTGGGCAGTCAGCTTACTACACCAGAATTGGCGGATGCATACGTTGCGGTAGGCTGAGCGGGAATATTGACCCACATGTGATTAAGGGCACGGCTCCCGGTGGGGTTTGCATAGCTACGTTATCTAGAGCGTTCGTTGAAATAAAAGACCTCCCCTCGCTGGGGTGATTTTGAATGTAACCGCGGCCGGAGAGTTTTTGACAATAGGGTGAAACGAATTACAGTGGTCTGTCAAATGCTTTCTCATGTTGAACCAGAAATGTTCAAACTATTACAACTTCCAACTATTTGAGTATCTAATGAAGGTTTTTTGACAGTTTGCCAAAAAAACGAACTTCCGCTTAGTGCTAAACGTCTGTTAGCTGTTTAGGGAAATCGAATGACGTCTAAAATCTCCGGTTTAGTGGCAGAATCTTTCGTACAAAAACTAGCTGTGTGTAACAGATGCCTCTCATTTGGTATTGTTTCGTTGATGGCGCATTCGCATCATCAGGAGTTTATATAAACAGTTCATCCCAATCTCCTGGAATCTGCAATTCACAGAAGAGGATAAAAATAGCAGCGGCTGGCCTTTCTTGGTGCGATGGTATACGAAGTGCCAATGAAGATCTAGAGACCCTAGTGAACGTGTAGACAACAAACCCAATGAATTTTCTCACCAGCTGGCTCACAAAGGAGGTTATGAGTAAAAAAAATTTAACGCATCTAGATGCACTGCGGTAGCTAGGGCGCACATGCATGCGAAGACATTTTATGCGGAATAGCTACTCGAAGGCGTTTTTAAGCCGCTGCCTACGTGATTGCCCCCCTCCCCGCCTGGAGGGCCACACAGCAAACACCCCTGGCATGCGTTGCAAGGCATAATATACGTAGAAGGGAACGACGCGATGGGTAACTTGCCGAGATAATCCACTGACCCAACGTTGAGCATGGTCATGAAAATGAAAGACCAACCTATTTTATTCCGTCGTCATAATTACACAGGTCGGACTGAACGCATGCTCGGACCGTGCAGGAACGAACACAAACTAGTAATGTGATATAAGAAAACAATTCTGCAAAGTAGCTGTCCAAATTGATGGGGCACGCGGTTTACCTCATAGTCACAAAGAAAGGCAAAAAGAAGGGGTCCAATTTCTACATAAAATGGCATTTGGTATCTAATCCACGAAGGGCGAAACGGCAGCTCACTGCACTCCCAATCATGTAAAGGAATCGTAAACTTATTGCCTTTCGCAGCTCATGACTAGCAACCGTGAGTCCATTGTCACTTACCTGCATGCCAAAAGAATTATAAACCTTCAGGACTGAAAACAAAATAACTAGCTAGAGCCCATATAAATACCGAATAAGCAGTTGTTTGTATGTTAAAACGTGGCGATACAGTTGGTGGTAAGGATCTAGGCAAGGATTTCGCGGCTACATCGTGTATTCCATTAAGGTGGAGGGCAGTGGACGCTTTCTCATCCTGGCAGATCTCCTGCTGATTCCGAAAATATACAACGTCAAAAGTGCTGTTGACACCTTCTATGGTACAATAGAAGGTTGCACATGTAAAAACAACTTGCCCGCGGGATCTGGCGAAGGCGCTGCGGCATAATAGATGGGCATCGTTACGTTAACTGTCATCGGAGTACCAGTGGGTGTGGTGATCGTTGCTTGGCATGTGTACTCGCCGATGGTGTTCTCATTCAGTTCGTGGATACTGAGTCTCTGACCCTCCGAATGATAGCGTCCCTTGAAGTACCAGGTTAGACGAACAGGGTGAGGGGGCTGCGGTTGGAGATGACAGTCCGCATAGAAGGGTGATCCACGTGCAGGCCTTCCGATCAGCGGATTAATACTCACCCGGTATGTCTGGGGATCTTAAAAGCGAAAAAAGCAGATAAGACTGTGCCAAGTTCATTTTGCTTAAAATTATCCCCTTTGGCGTGAAAGCTCGCAAATATCTCTGTTCAGCCGGTACGTAGTCAGTCAACAATTGTATTGAGTATGTGTCAATCGAAGCTTCGCGTGCAACCCTTCATAAGAACGCCCTAATTGTCTCGGTTTAGTTTTGTCAATGAGTCTGCAGTGATATTTATTTTCGCAGGTCTATCATGGGAACACGCCGATCTGTGCCAGCAGCGTCGCCTGGGTCTATATTGCGTAGCAGTTTGTTTTCAGGACTGACTTTCACAAAACGTCTGGCAGTGGGATCTGATTCAGTAAAGCTTGGCTTATGGAGTTACGAACCAGGCTTCTTCTTCAAAGAAACATGCTCAAACGAATCACGAACCCACCAGTGAGAGAAACCGAAGGGAATGAATTGTACTGCAGAGAAATAATCGCCTTCCCCTCGATAGTCGAACCGCCTGCCTGCCTGAACCGCACCTGACACGTGTAATCACCGACGGAGTGATCGTTGAGTTCGGGAATCCGGAGACGTTCACCGCGCGAGAAGACTCGACCTTGGAAGTACCAAGTGTAGTCAACAGGTGCAGATGGTCGTGGTGAGAGACGACAGTCAGCGTAGAAGGGCCTTCTGTGTTCCATTTGTTGCGTGAGGGGGACAATACTCACTACAAACTGCCCTAAAGGTAGACGAGAAATTCAAAGTCAAGCTGGCGTGAGGTATCTTCGACCATTTATGTCTGACGTGTGATTCAAAAGCAGTAGATTCCGGTGCATTTACTTGCGAGTGGCTTTGGTGCTAGGGTTCAATAGCGTTTGATGTAAGAGTGCATGTTCATTCTTGTACCAAACCGACAGTTTATTTTACAGGACTTTGCTACAAAATCAGCATTGTGTTTCGAAACTAAACCTTTTCCTTCGTGTTTTTAGACACAATATCTGTCACATATTGTTTCCGCTTTTAAGGGTTATCGAATAAGTCCGTGGTTTTCTCACCGGCTTAAGCTAAAAAATGCTACATGGTTCCTAATATTTTTCATTTTTCGCTCATGCGCGATGCCTCTCCATATCTGAATGTCAAGTTTCTGAAAAGTTGGTCCTGGATTCGTCTGAAAGCGGTGGTTCCTGTGCCTTTAGAAGCCTCCTGCAAGGAACACGAAAGGCGCCAGTACTTGCATTCTGACGAAAATGCTAATAACATAACTTTATATAGCTGGGGATTACTGTGAGAAAATAAAGCGAATTCAGCATCGCTACAGGAATTATTTAATCATTTTTACACTTTTCAGTGCCAAAATTATAGATAATTTCCGTTCACAAGAACAAGGGTTTTAAGTTTTTTTTAAAGTCCCTTGCATTCTAATGCGATACAAAAAGAGTCGAGATATTTTTTATTTATTCACAAGCATGTTTCAATAATAGCAACGTTACAAATTTTTTGCATGTTTCTTGTTGAGCACAGATGTCACACTGACAGACAAAAACAGGTAACAAAAGTTGATCCTAATTTAGGCTGAAGTTCACTAGTTTCTCTTGAGGATATTACAGTGGTGCCTAACGATGGTGATGGTTTGTACAATGCCTGGTACGGTTTCGGACCAACTACTAATATTTTAAGGGCATGCATACCTTCTATATCAAATCAGTAACTGTCCTTTTCCCGTCACTAGTTTTGTTCTTAATCGTCCCCTGTGGGGACCCTTGATAATCCAGGGCCCTGCCAGCCAAATCCCCGGCTGCCTCCCGTCGAAATTCAGGGGTGACAGGGAGTGATCCGGGGGTAAAGACGTGGATTCGACGTGAATGAGGACGGGGTTTTTAACCCGTATATTCCCGTCCTCACCCCCATCGTCTCCTCCGGATCACCCCGTCAAACTTCCGGGGAGGGTATTCATATTATGAAATTATCCGTAAAAATAATATCAAATATCACCTAAAAAGGCACCATAAGTTCAAAAATAGTCAAAAAATGAGTTAGATCGCCTTTTAGGTCAGTCTACAGCATTCTGCGAAATCGCAGGTTGCCTACATACATACGCCTTAACCATCAACCTTGGATACACCCGGATTCCCCCGTCGTCACCCCCGCCCAGTTTTGGCGTTTGCTGGCAGGGAGGACGGGGACATGCGGGTTGAAAACCCCGTCCTCACCCCCGCCGCCACCCCCGGATCACCCCGTCGAAATTCCGGGGCGGGTTTGCTTATTATCAAATTATCCGTAAAAATAATATCAAATCTCACGTAAAAAACGCACTGTAAGTTCAA